TTGAAAGGCTTTACTTGCTTGAAACGTTTCTACAAGTCTTTGTGTTTGAAGCTTTGTGCTTTAGGTTCTAAGTTTTACTAATCTCAACAGCGACATGAAGGAAGATGTGACACTGGTGAAGGAGGATGTGACAGACCTGAAAAGAGCCATGGAAGCACTTTTACAGGATCAATGAAGTAGATCATGTTACACTTCAAGAGATTTCACGTGGTGAATATGTGCATCATCTGCTCCAAATGAGGACTCGAATTCTGCGCATGATCCTACCAAGCTCCGTAAATAGAGCACTCCACAATCCATTGGGGAAACTCTTTAGCTAAGTTTTCTTCTTGTATTATCTTATTGTAATCCATATCTTAACTTAGATCATGAATCTCTTTGACGTTTTTGTTTTATAATCTATTAATCATAAGTCTCTTATTTTTGTATATTGTATTTATTATCTTAAAAACTCTTGAATATTTTATATTAAGGTTTGTATCTTTTTTATTGCAATTTTCATGTTATAATTCATTTGGTTTCAATTTTTTTTTAATTCAGAATTGTTAATTAGTCACAATAACTTCATAGTTTTTTTGGGTTAAAATGCAAAAAAATATTTTAGCTGATTGTGGATATTTGTATCTTATAGCAACGAATTAATTCGTAGCTATCTTGTTATAGACACAAATTTAGGTGTGGTAATTTGTGTATTTTAGCCACAACGAGGTGGATACTTGTGGATAATAGCTATGACATCGAGTGCGACTAATTGTGACTATTGTAGATACAAATGTAATTGTGTCTATTCCTTTGTTGTGGCAATGCTGTGGAAACAGATCCACAAATAGCCACAAGCTAGAAATAGCTACAAAATTATAACTATAACTACAATTAATTTTGTGGCTATATAATATATACATTGTATTTGATTATTTTTTTTGAAATTTTTTGTATTTGATTATTAGAAATTCATATACGTATTGCATAAATTTAATACTAAATTAGCTTTTAATTATTTTTTATTTCTCATTGTTAAAGGAATCGCTTAGTCGTTTACAATTGCTGAGTCAATTGCCTCGCCGTACTGGTTTAATGCATCCGAATATCTAATGTTTGTGTTGGAGACGAATAATTGGCGTGATAAGTAGAGGTTGTAAAGTGCTTAAACCCTTTTCTTAAGTTTTCAAAGTTATTTTTATCTAATCAAATTTTTAACAAAATTATATTTTATCTAATCCAGTTTTTAATGTGAGAGATTTTAAGGACATTTTTTTTTTGTAGGTAAAGTTTTTGATGACCCAAAAAAAAAAAAAAATTATAATCGACAACCTTACCCTACCAATCACTCATTGTAAGAAGCCCAGAAAGAGTACATAATGGGCTTTATGGGGCCCAAATATAACAGGAAGAAAACACCTGACGTCTGTCTTCTGCTCTCGCCTCCGTCGCATGGCTTTCCGCCGATCTTTCATATCGCCGCCTTACCGCAAACTCCATTAATTCGCCGCCGAATAGTTTAAGGTATTTATGTCTCTATTGAGGAATTTTCACATTTTTTGAAATCTGAAACTAGTTCCTCGGTTGATGTAAATACTCGTAATCATCGATTCATTTATCGTGTTTAATTCAGTAGAGAGTAGTTAAGCTGAGCATGATTGATTCCTATTCATTGCAATATGAAAATTTTCGGGTTTGGCTTATTTTAGCAGGATTTGGGGTTTTAGAAATTGGTTTTCATTAGTTATCTTTTTCTTGTGACCCAAAAAAAAAAAAAAACCTACTTTGTTGTACCCTGTTTCCCGATTAGTGAACACTGTTTTGTAACTTCTGGAGATAATTCTACTGTTAGTGGTGATTCAGGTGCTCAAAGGTGAGGTTTTGATGGGGAGGGTACGATGTTGGCTGCAATTATACCGGAATGCCCACAGCATGTTTGCGATAATGCCTGAAAGAAACTTTTTATTATCCGGAGATTCCCCTTTTGGGCGGGTATGTGTCAGGTTGATGACGAGTAGTAAGCGTGTTCAAGATAGGAGCAGGGAGAAGAGAGTGCGCGAGCTCGAAGTAGCCACAGAGAAATGGAAAATAGCTTCCAAAGTGATTTTCTTGATGGAGGTGTTGAAGAGTGAGCCAGATATGATAATGACCGTCAGGTCGTTGGAGCAGTACAGGAGGCAGATCAATTTGCCTAAACCACATAAGATCAGTGATTTCATCAGAAAGTCTCCAAAGTTGTTCGAATTGTACAAAGATCAAAGGGGAGTCTTGTGGTGTGGTATGACAAACGATGCGGAAGATTTGATGGACGAGCGTGAGAAGTTACTCGAGGAGAACGGAGACAAGGCTGCAGAACATGTGACTAGGTGTTTGATGATGTCTGTTGATAAGAAGCTTCCATTGGACAAGATTGTTCATTTCCGAAGGGACTTCGGGTTGCCTCTTGATTTCAGGATAAACTGGGTCCACAAGTTTCCTCAGCATTTCAAAGTTGTGAAAGTAGGGGATGGAGATGAGTATCTTGAGCTTGTTTCATGGAATCCAGCTTGGGCTATCACTGAGTTGGAGAAAAAGACTCTAGGTTTAACTGAGGAGAACGATCACAAGCCAGGTATGCTTTCACTGGCTTTCCCCATGAAGTTTCCTCCGTCGTACAAGAAAATGTACAGGTACAGAGGGAAGATCGAACATTTTCAGAAACGATCTTACTTGTCTCCTTATGCCGATGCACGTGGACTCGAAGCTGGTTCAAAGGAATTCGACAAGCGAGCAATCGCTGTTATGCACGAACTGCTTAGCTTTACACTCGAGAAGAGATTGGTGACGGATCATCTAACCCATTTCAGGAGGGAATTTGTGATGCCACAGAAGCTGATGAGGATTTTCTTGAAGCATTGTGGCATCTTCTATGTCTCTGAGAGAGGGAAGAGATTCAGTGTGTTCTTGACAGAAGCTTACGAAGGACCGGAATTAATTGAGAAGTGTCCTTTGATACTTTGGAAAGAGAAGTTGCTGAGGTTTACGGGTTACAGGGGAAGGAAGAGAGATATTCCAACTTATAGTGATACTTTGGACATGGAAGAAAGAGAATTGCTGGAGAGTGGTTCAGGAGATGAAGATTTGAGAGTTGGATGTGAGAAAGATGATAATGATTTGGTAGCAGATGATGATGATGAGATGGACATTGATGAGGTGAATGATGCATATGAAGAGAATAACAAAGCTTAGACAAAATTCTGAGCAAGAATTTTGATGAAAATTTGGAAACTTTCTACTTCTCTTATGTAAATCTGGCATTTTCACAAGCTTAGTGATTTTTCTATTGAATCAATCTCCAATGCTGCAGAAAAGAGGAAATCTAAATCGGAAACAATACCATGTATGTGGACTGAAAATGATCTATTTACATTTGTTCTCTATCAATTTTCCCGTATATATACACAACAACAATTGAAATTGACAAAGAAAACAATTAGTGCTTGTTTTCTGAGAAGACCTAGCTAGATTATCGTAAACAAAAATTGTGAAAACTTTTTATGAGAATTGAAATACACTAAAAGAGAACAATGATCAGCAAAACAAAAGATATTTACACAAGAAAACGAACTTAATAGAAACATTTAAAAGTCAATAGTAAGTCTTT